TTTATTTTGTGATAATCAATCTGTTTTGTATATTGCTCATAACCACGTTTTTCATGAACGTACAAAGCATATTGAATTAGATTGTCACATTGTTTATGAGAAACTAAAAGTCGTTCGATTCATCTTCTTCCAGTTTCTTCCACCCATCGGTTGGCAAATTGTTTCACGAAAGCTCTCCCTTCCACCGCTTTCAAGGCTAACATTATCAAGTCGGGCATTCTTGACATTTATGCTCCGAGCTTGAGGGGCTATCACACTCGATTATTCAAGCTTTATCATGCCCGACATGCTCTTTCTTTGTCGGATTACAAGGAAATCCGTAATAGGTTTTTATGTTTTCTTGGCCTTCTCGATTTCATGAAAATTCAAGAAACAACAAACAATGTCTCGTTCTTCTTCCGAGGTCGAATATCATGCACTAGCTGCATTTACTTATGAAACCCAATGGTTTATCTTTTTGCTCAAATACTTTCGGATTATTCATCGAGGACCAACTATTCTATTTTGTGATAATCAATTTGCTTTACACATTGCTCATAACCATATTTTCCATGAGCGTACAAAGCATATTGAATTAGATTGTCACATTGTTCATGAGAAACTACAAGTTATTCGATTCATCTTCTTCTAGTTTCTTCCACCCATCGGTTGACAAATTGTTTCACGAAAGCTCTCCCTCCCACTCGCTTTCAAGGCTAAAATTATCAAGTTCGGGCATTCTTGACATTTATGCTCTAGCTTGAGGGGGCTATCACACTAATTATTCAAGCTTAATCATGCTCGACATGCTCTCTTCTATTTTTCGCAATTTGTTAGCTTTGTTACTCTGTTAATTTTGTTAGCTTATTAGTTATATTCTTTTATATTCCTTTTAAGCCCAAGTTTGTTATAACTCTCATAACGAGTCTTAGCAAGTTTTAGCCTTTTCTGTTTTTGCCCTCGATTGTATGTATATAAGGACGTGGAAAAGAGAGTGAATTTGAATTTTTCTCCCCGAAAAAGTTTCCGTTACTATGTGACTTTATCTCATTGTCGTTTCTATGCACTTGAAGAAGCTTAAAAATTTTATCAATTGAGAGGAGTTAATTTTATCAATTTTATTCTCAAATTATTAAAATGCTTTCAATTTGGTCCTTTCACCTAAAATCATCACAAATTTTTTAAAATAAAAATGTGAAATTCTCTTGAAAATAATTTTTTATTGCATAAAGTATGTAAAATATTAACAAACATGATAGAAGGACTCAAATGAGGATGCATGGCATTTTAGTTATCCAATTAGAAATACATCAAAAAGGCTAGCAACACTCTTTTTAATATATTTTTTTAAATACTTACTCAATAAAAGTGTCAACGTAAAACCTTTTTAACCATTTCTAATAACTAAGAAAAAATTAACAATAAGAAAATAACTGATGATTCATATTTTTAAAAAGTTTTTAAATTAAAGTGTCAATGTCAAACTTTTTCAACTACCTCTAATATCTAAGTAAAAAATTAACAACAAGAAGATAGTTGATGATTCATAGTTTTTAAAAAATTTTAAATTACAACCGATTTCATATTATTTAAAAGACTAAAATACATCTTGTTTTAATTTATTTTTGCATAAAATATCGGTGTAATGGATAATTATTTATTTGTTATAAAGATAAAACACTCACTTGTTTGCATTCAAAAAAGAAAAAAAGAGAAGGAAATATTGACTCTTAGTTTCAATTTAATGGTTTTCGGATAAGTTTAAAGTTAAACAAATAAAAAGATAAGTATTTTAGCCTTTTAAATAATATGAAATTAATTATAATTTTTTTTAAATATGGAACATGAGTTATTTTCTATTTGCTATTTTTTTGCTTGGATGTTAAAAGTAATTAAAACAAGTTTGAGTTAAACTTTTTTATTAAGCAACTGTTTAAGAGAGAGTGTTAAAAAAAAAGTGTTGCAAGCATTCCTTATAAATACCTTTATTTCATAAACTCAATTGAGAATTTGTGGATAGGTTTGGGGACTATTTTTTATTTTTTTATTTTTTAACAAGGTAATAGACTCGGGCCAAGTTTCCCAAAATCCTTTAGTAGCCATCGAAACCATTGTATGTTAGAGTTTAAGGCTATGCACCTTTTATTTTATTTTTTTTTAACGAGACACATCCAAAGTTTCTAGTTAAACTAATATGTTAAGATTCGAAACTGTGATCTCTTATTGCAAAAGATCACTATCATTGGGCTACAAGCTTTTTAGTACTATGCACCCTTTGCTAATAGATTGCAATGACCAGCAAGGTTTATCATGGGATTAGGACCGCTGAGAAAACCTGACAGAGACAATGTTCACAAAGTTGTAGTTTCCTGTGGCACAAGCTTCTGCCAAGGTGCTCTCATTTCCATTCAGACCCCAATAAATGGCAATGACAATTGCCACCAGCATTTGAACCAGTCGCTAGCATTAATCTGCTAGACAAGGAATGGCATAGAAGTTGCCATTTGCATTGCTATTTTAAGGCAGATATTGAGCCTTGATATGATGACTAATGGAAATATGTAACAGTGCTAGCTAATTCTATTTTAGAGATATTGGAGGAGCATGGCTTTTATAGCAGACATATGCCTCGTTCCTGACGGTGATATTTTGTGCTTTTGCTTGGGAGGAGTGCCTTAACAGTTACCCTATCTTATGCTAATAGGTCTTAAAATTTCAAGGCCTTGTTTTGGCATAGAACAGTTGGTTTATCTTACAATGTCTCTTGCTTCTGTTAGCTTCCTCCTATCCTATATGTCTTCTATTGCATCCTCTATCTTTCAAGTATTATGGAATAAGGAGAGACGTTGCTGTCAACTCCAGCATAATTACTGGGAAAACCAAGGTGATCAGTCTAGCGCTCAAGGAAATTGGGCAGTAAATTGATAGTCATTGCCTGTTTTTTTTTATAATGCTGCAGAAAATTTGGTCCAATATATATGCACCATTCTGCAAATTCAAAATCAGAAATTTGTGATTTGTTTCAATTTTCTTACCTTGCTTTAACGTTCTTTTATTTTGGGATGGTGATAAAATGGCAGCTATCCTCATCCAAATCACTGTAACGCCGCACTTGCTAGAAAAGAAGTAACACTTGACATATTCGGATGCAAATTTGGGCGAAGTAAACTTTTCAATGAATCATCTTAAGACACACTTCAAGTTGTTGTAATAAAAAAAAATTCAGCTTTTAAATGAACTCAGCCTGAGTTTGTCTTGAAAGATTTCATCAACCTTTCTACAAATAAAAAATTTGAAGTCAAACAATAACTCGAGAAATAAGACATGGTCATTTACCAGTAAAATTGTCTTCAAATTATGTAAGATGCAATAAATTAAAATAAATCGAATTAAATTTCAAGGTTTCAGTAATGACAACTATGTTTTGACAAAACTTCACCAAAATATTGACAAGCATTTCCCAAGCGACAAATAAATAATTTCGTTGTCAAGGAAATTATGTATCTTCTCTTCTATCTCAGAATATGGACCTAGTCTTTAACTCTGAACATATTCCTCTGAAATAAACTGGATGAACTAGTTGTGTATTCTCTTGAAACGGAGGTTCTTGTTTTACATTTTGCCTAAATTCTATGTCAAGGCAGCTGACATTCTCTGCCAGTACAGGGTTGGCAGAGTTTGTCATCCAAGAACTATCAGATTTTCCAATTTTATTTGGATGATAGAGTTCTAGTTGTTTGGTTTTGTTGTCAAGGCAGAGTAGCCATTCTTTTGTTTTTGTCCGGTCCGGTTAAAATATGAGGATTGGTTCTATATATCAAATTCAGATGTGCTTAAATAAAATGTGAGTAGTATGTGGCTATTTGCTAATTGGTGATTCTGTGTCCCTGTATATGCTTAGATTTTTTATTCAATAGAAAACCTAAATGTATGGTGGAAAATTCAAGTTAAGAGGATACTTACTTATTCACCATTTAGTCAAGTTTTAGTGAAATAAAGAGCAAACATTTCCAGAGACCATAAATCTAACAAATACTACAGCAGAATTTATTAACCAAGAATGTATAAAGATTCCATGTATGCTTTTATTTTTTATTATTTATTATTTGCTCAAAATAAAATTTTCTCACTTTTTTTATTATGTACTCATTAACTAATATTAAACATTCTTCTAATATAAATTAATCTAGCAAGCTATTCTAATTTATTTTTAAAAAATAATTAGTTAATTGCATTTTTTTATCGTTCAAAATCAAACATATTCATAAGATATATTTAAATTCAACTATAAAATATAAATATTTTATTAAAATTACATGATACATATTAAATTAAAAAAATACTGTAATTAATGTTAATAAAATTTTATTTTACATCTAGGTTTTTAAAATTATTTATAATATTAAAACATACTATATAGAATTACTCGCGGCAAAGATCAGATAGTCTATTAGTGAAAAACTGAAACTAAAATCTAATATAACTCTTATCCTACTTAGCACAATTGACTAAAGGATTATTTCATATTATCTTAAGAGAAGTTATTGAGATAACATTCTGTAAAATATTAAATGCATAGTGTATCAGATGGCGAACAAATACCAAGCATGACAGGCAGTGGAATTTGAAGATACAACAAATTGAAGCCCACCTGACCGCAAGATTTTCACATTCCTATACTCGAGTAACTTCCTAGAATAATGCAGTCGACAGCAACAATAAAAAATGATTTCATAGCAGAAGAGGCCAACAAAATAAGACAGATTAGAGGCAAACGAAAGATGACGGGCATGCAAAATCATTTCAAAATGGATATTTTCTAGCTTCAAAAATTTCATCTGCGTGAAATTATGAGGCAGGGAAGCTTCAGCAAAGTAACTGTTAAGGCAAGGCACCATTAGAATACAAAAAACTCCTGCAATCAGAGTCAGAGCAATCACATCCTTCTGCTATAAAAGCAATTCTCCTCCAGGAAAATGGAGTGCATTCGAACAATTGCAATCGAGCACAAATAGCTTAAGATGGCATTCCAATCAGCAACTAAATTGTCAGTTGTCGCCTTAGTATTGCTAATTTTGGCAATGGGATCTGAGGCTGGTGGAATAGCAATCTACTGGGGTCAGAACGGAAACGAGGGCACCCTGGCAGATACTTGTGCAACTGGAAACTACCAATATGTAAACCTAGCCTTCCTCGTGACTTTCGGAAATGGTCAGACTCCAATGATTAACCTTGCTGGCCATTGCGACCCATCCAGCAATGGTTGCACAAGCTTAAGTTCTGACATAAAATCATGTCAAGCCCAAGGTGTAAAGGTGATGCTTTCTATAGGAGGAGCTTCTGGAAGCTACTCCCTTGCCTCGTCAGAGGATGCGAGGCAAGTCGCAACTTATCTGTGGAACAATTTCTTGGGTGGTCAATCTTCGTCCCGTCCCCTGGGGCCAGCTGTCCTAGATGGAATTGACTTTGACATTGAAGGAGGATCGGGCTTATATTGGGATGACCTTGCAAGGTACCTTTCCGCTTATAGCAAGAAAGGTAAAATGGTGCACTTAACAGCAGCTCCCCAGTGCCCCTTCCCTGATGCTTGGGTGGGAAATGCCCTCAAAACCGGTCTTTTCGATTACGTTTGGGTCCAGTTCTACAACAACCCTCCTTGCCAATACGCTTCTGGTGAGGTTACCAATCTCGAGGATGCATGGAAGCAATGGACTTCGGCCATTCCAGCCGGCAAGATTTTCTTGGGTTTGCCTGCATCCCCTGAGGCAGCAGGCAGTGGCTTCATTCCTGTACCTGATCTCACATCAACCGTGCTTCCATCCATTAAAGGCTCTTCCAAGTATGGAGGTGTGATGCTGTGGTCCAAGTATTACGATGATCAAAGTGGATATAGTTCTTCCATTAAGAATGATGTCTGAAGTTGTAATATATGTGTTCTGCATGGCAGTGCATACGATGTACTGTGTCAGTTGTATTTCCAGATATGAGATATTATGATATATCTTCCATTTCTATCTTTGTTTAAGCGGGGCTCTTTGTATTTCCTAGACCCAAGTTTAGATTCTTGACCAAAGTGACCCATTTATAAGTTTTAACACTTTAGACTTGGAAGAGCCTCAAACCTGAGCAACATATAAGCCCAAATCAATCAAAACAAATATTACTATTCAACTTTCATTAGCAAGCGTAGGCATTACCATATAGATCCAAACCTGTACTAAGCATTTGCAGGAAGGAGAAGCTAAAACTATTTAGGATAGTTTGGGGGAACCGTGGATTAACGATACGGAGAAGTGTTGGATCCAGGCATCCTGGTGGCAGGAGTGAATTAAGGAGGAAATAAAATGTAGTAAAAAATGAAAAATAAATTTAGCAGATCTCAGGTAGTTTGGCGTTGAGATTAAAATAATTTTTGTAGTTCATCAACTTTCGGATTATCACTTGAATGCTAAAAGCAACTTTTGACAATTTCATATCACCGTTAATTGAGTTGATTTGAGCTCGAATTGATAGACTACACAAAGCTATTATACCTTTTTTCTATGTTACAAGTATTTCTTCTTACTGTTATAGTAATAACTTCGCTTCAATGTAAATCATCCTTTGATTCAGACATATAATCATCCTTTGAGCTTAAAATGGACAGGGACTGAATATTAACGGTAACAGGCAACCCTAAAAATGCAGATGATAGGGCGGTCAAATCTAGGGGGCCTAAAACAAATACCACTTGGTTGTATGATTTAAGCAAATTTCAGTTTCGTGAACTTTAAAAGCAACTAAAATTGATCGTTTATCAAAGATCTATAGAGGGTAGTTTCTTATAGTAGGCTAGATCTGGATACATGATTCATACAAAGGGGGTAATTGTGAATTCCCATTATTGTTCAGTGAAGAACTAAATAAAGTGGTGGTGGGACTAACTGATGTGTAAGAGCAAGCTTCAACTCCTAGTTGCTGATAAAGTAGCGCAGACACATATTTTCATCTCAAGGCCAACAAATAGTAAATCACAGGATAACTAAAAGCCCGATCTTTTTAAAATGATAGAAATCCGCTGTATTTTACTTGTTGGCATATGTGAGAATGAAAGTACTCTGCGGATTTACCTAATACAGATTCCGTCAAAGAATATGAATAATGGTAGCCAATCAAATAAATTAAATATGATTCAGAAAATATCACACGCTGAATGTTTCTCGTTTTCTATAAACGAATGTTATATGATGGTCAGAATGCTCGAACAAGTAGACAAATATAATACATAAAACAGTGCACAGTCCAGAGATAGCACATTTAGTCATTTGAGTTGATATCTGCAATTGTAAGAACTTGTTCTATGTTCAAATAAGCCATTTGCAACCGTCCAGTTCCATTCATCAAATGTGTTACAGGTGCATCAAAGTGATCGCAAAGCCACGCACTCTTCTGCATAAGAACAGAATGTGCCATCAGATTAACTCGGCTGAATGTTCCTATAAAAGATAGAATTTTTTGAGCAGTTTAAGCACCAAAAATAGAAAATCCTGGAATAGTGTGGTAGTGAAAAGCTGGTGACTTGTTAAACACTTGGAAATCTTTTGCAGATGGCAACAAGGTCAGCAATTGCACTGGCATTCCTCTTGTCAATAATTCTAAAAGTCCTTGTCGGTTCTGAAGCTGGTGGAATAGCAATCTACTGGGATCGGAATGGAAATGAAGGCACCTTAGCAGAAACTTGTGCCTCCGGAAAATAAGAGTACTTAATCCTAGCATTCCCGCCAACTTTTGGAAATGTTCAGACTCCTATGATTAACCTAGCCGGCCATTTGATCCATAGAGTAATGGTTGCACGAAATTAAGCTCTGGCATAAAATCATGTCAAGACAAAGGCATCAAGGTTATACTTTCTGTTGGAGAAGGAGTTGAGAGTTACTATCTTAACTCTACTCAGGATGCAAGGGAAGTGGCAACTTACATCCGGAATAACTTCTTTAGGGGGGGGGGGGGGGGACTCTCCCGCTTGGCCCAGCTGTTCTGGATGGAATTGACTTTGACATTGAAGGAGGGACAAACCTACACTGGGATGATCTTGCAAGTACCCTTTCAGCATATAGCAAGCAAGGTAAGAAGGTACAGTTGACTGCAGCTCCCCAGTGCCCATTCCCAGATGCTTGGGTTGGAAATGTCCTCAAGAAAAGTCTTATTGACTACGTTTGGGTCCAATTCTAATTTCTACAACAATCCTCCTTGCCAGCACTCTGGGAATATTACCAACCTTGAAGATGCCTGGCAGCAAGTATACCTCCTGCTGAAAATATTTTCCTGGGATTACCTGCCTGCTCCTGATGCAGCTGGAAGTGAGTTCATCCCTAGCTATATCTGACCTCACTTCCAAAGTACTTCCTGCAATTAAGGGTTCTGCCAAGTATGGCGGTGTCATGTTATGGTCCAAGTACTGTGATGATCAAACTGGTTATAGTAAAGCCATTAAGAGCCACGTCTAAAAATCTAAGCATACCTTTTATACATCTGTACGTGAATAAAATTCTTGTCTTAGTTATATGTGCTTATGTAATCAATCTATAAGTACATCAGCACTGTTATGCATAAATGATTCAGAAATTTGTGCTTTGTTACCCGTTTCCTACTCTTCTTTTGGTTTTCTTTGCCCCATGACGTGTTTTGTTGATATCACAGCACCGACCAAATCACTATAGTAGGTACCCTCCATAACAAATAACACTAACATGGTTGTGTAATCCTAAGTGATTGGTTAAGAATGATTTGTACACAAATATGAGGAAAATGATCCTCACAATTAATCTTCCTTGTACTTCATGTTGTTGTCACTATAAAGCATCAATTCAGCTTTGTGTATGTTCTAAATGAGTTCATTGATCGCTCGAAACGAAACAATAGTCTATGTTCATCAATAATTGGAAGTGGATGAGCTATATAGTCGAAGTCAAAAGGAATAACTAAGAGAGATAAGACAAAACGAAACAATGATCTTTGTAGCTTGTTGGTCTCTCATGTTCTATTATCATTTTAATTTAAATCTTGCTCATTTTTTCTGGCAAAAGAAAGAAAATAAATAAAAACTGAAAGATGAGACATGATTTTTTTTGCCAGTGAAGTTGTGCTTTGGAAGAAAATGTAAAACCCAAGAAATCAAAACAAATTAAAATGTTACATATCAGGGTCTCAAGAAATAGTGATAATTATATTTTTACAATCCTTAAGCAAGACGCAAGTAAATACTTTTAAAGTGGAGGAAATTCTGCATCTACCATAATCCTCTGAAACATGAACTGTATGTTCGATCTCTTGAAAAAGATGTTCTGATTAGCCCTTCAGTTAAATCTATGTCAAACCAGCAACTCTGCCAAGTTTGGTTACGTTGGCAGTATCAGTCTTGTGTGTGTTTGTTAAGTGTTAATCAGGTGGGTTTCGATGATTTTTGTCTCTTGATTTATCTCATATACTATTGTTAAAGAAGCTAGCTTGTGCCTCGTGCATCATTTGAGGTCTTCGTATTAACATGTTCCACTCTTCTGTTACGAACTGTCTCTTGATTTATCTCGTAGACTATTGTTAAGAATGCAGATTGGGAAGGAGTTAATCAAGAAAACTGATGAGAATAGAAGCATAAAATTGCTCGTGATGAATAATACCTAGCAACACAAATGAGAAAACGTGGACAAAAGATGAGAAATGTTTACCGTTACAGTTTAAAAATGATTTGATTGGAGAACAGGATAACAATGTAAGACAAATTAGAGGCAGTGGACAAAAGTTAACACACGTGCCAACTTTCAGAATGGATTTCTTGCCAGCTTAAAAAATTCCGTCTGCGTGATATTACGAGGCAAGGAATTGGGAAAAAGTAACTGTTAAGGCAAGGCATCATTAGAATACAACCTCTTGTGGTTAGAATAATCACATACTTCTTCTATAAAAGGCCTCCTCCTCCGTCACAATGTAGTGCAGTTAAGTAAAACAGTTTATCCCACATTAGTAATCGAAAGTGACTGGTGAATCTAGCTTAGGATGGCATTACATTCAGCAATCTCATTTTCAGTTTTTGCCTTGGTATTGTTATTACTAGCAATAGGTTCTGATGCTGGTGGAATAGCAGTTTACTGGGGTCAGAACGGAAATGAGGGCACCCTGGCAGATACTTGTGCAACTGGTAACTACGAATACGTAAACCTAGCTTTCCTGACAAGTTTTGGAAATTGTCAGACTCCAATGATTAACCTTGCTGCCATTGCGATCCATCCAGCAGTGGTTGCACAAGCTTAAGTTCTGACATAAAATCATGTCAAGCCCAAGGTGTTTAGGTGATGCTTTCAATTGGAGGAGCTTCTGGTAGCTACTCCCTTGCCTCCTCAAAGGATGCGAGGCAAGTCGCAACTTATCTGTGGAACAATTTTTTGGCGGGTCACTCTTCGTCCCGTCCCCCGGGGCCAGCTGTCCTAGATGGAATTGACTTTGACATTGAAGGAGGAACAGGCTTATATTGGGATCCGCTTATAGCAAGAAAGGTACAATGGTGCACTTAACAGCAGCTCCCCAGTGCCCCTTCCCTGATGCTTGGGTGGGAAATGCCCTCAAAACCGGTCTTTTCGATTACGTTTGGGTCCAGTTCTACAACAACCCTCCTTGCCAATACGCTTCTGGTGAGGTTACCAATCTCGAGGATGCATGAAAGCAATGAACTTCAGCCATTCCAGCCGGCAAGATTTTCTTGGGTTTGCCTGCATCCCCCGAGGCAGTAGGTAGTGGCTTCATTCCTGTACCTGATCTCAAATCAACCGTGCTTCTATCCATTAAGGACTCTTCCAAGTATGGAGGTGTAATGCTGTGGTCCAAGTATTACGATGAAAGAAGTTGATATAGTTCTTCCACTAAGAATGATGTCTGATCTCAAATTTCTGTCAATTCTGCGTGGCTTCTAGCTTGTGTGATGTGTATCAGTTGTACTTCCAGATACTCTAATCTATTTTCTATTAATGTATCTTCGTAGTGCATAGTTGATTTATGTTCACTGGGTTCTTTTAAGTGGCTCACTTCATGGTCTTATAGTTTTTAACAATTTCTTATGCCTAGAGTTAAAATTTCTTTAACAAACTTAGCCACAATTTTAACTACTGAAACTTTGAAAACGTTGCAGAATATAGGTCCAAGGCCAAGCTAATCAAAATCAACATTTCATCTCACATACAAGAGTAGGCGTTATGCTATGGATCCAAATAGTGATAACGTAGCAGAAAAAACTGAAATTGTAAAAGAAGATTTAGTATCACAAAAACGATGACCCTTATTGCATGCTCAGATCAGATGATGCACTAGATTGCACAAATCTAACAATACTATTTCTCTATGTTACTGATTTTTCTCTTAAACTTCTCAAGTTTTCCTTCAAATTAACTCTGTAACTCTGGCCTTCTGATTCATCTATTTAACATTCCAATTTTTAAATGATTTATCACAAAATGCAGCCTGTGTGGGGAAATTGAAGCATTTAGACCTAATATTTTCCAATGTTATTCCAGGAGGGTACCCACAAAATGTAGATAATGGGCTATTTTGTTACTATGGTTGTCAAACATAGGGGCCAAAACGTCTAAACCACATACTTTTACAGATATGTTGTATGATTTAAGTAAAATTCAGGGTTCTTTGAACTTTTTCAACTCTTATTGAACTGATCATTTCATAAACCTTGTACTGGGCTGGTTCCATTTTTTTTTACCTCTACAATATATGGACACATGATTCATATAATTAGTGTAAATTCTCAAACTTATTCAGGAAAATCCAAACAGTGGAGTTGGGACCAGCCGATGAGGTAGCTAGGAACAAGCTTCAATTCCTGTTCTCTAAGCGGCTAACAAACATTTCAAAAAAAAGAAAGAAAGAAGAAACACTAGTTTTTTTTTTTTTTTATAACATATTGGCAGATGTGAAAATGAAGTCTCTGGAGCCTGGATTTATCTATTATAGATTCGGTCGGAGACCATTATATTGGCAGCCAATGAGAACCATTAAATATGGTTCAGCTTCTGACTCATTCACACAAATGGGGTCTGTCACTTTCTACCAGTGATTGATCATATTCATGGTTAAAACGCACGTACAAAAAGTGAAGTAGACAAATATGAGAACCAAAAACAGAAGAGAACAGCTAATGATAGTGCATACAGTCATTAAAATTGATATTTGAACATGTGAAAACTTTTGTTGTCTTCAAACAAGCCATATGCGTCCATCCAGCTCCATTCAACAGCGTACTGGAAGCAACGAAGTGACTGCTAAGAAACGCACTCTTCCACAATAGAACAAGATGTAGCCTTCAAGTTGGGCTTGATTTCCACTATAAAAGATATGCTTTTGAGAGCAGTTTAAACACCAAAACAGAATATCTTGAAAAAGTACAGTAGTGAATAGTGAGTGACTCATCAATCGCTTGCATATCTTGAGTAGATGGCATCAAGGTCAGCGATCTCAATAGCATTTATCTTATCGTTGATTCTGACAGTATTGGTTGGCTCTGAAGCCGGTGGAATAGCAATCTACTGGGGTCAGAATGGAAATGAGGGCACCTTGGCGGAGACTTGTGCCACAGGAAACTATGACTATGTAATCTTATCTTTCCTATCGACTTTTGGAAACGGTCAGACTCCTATGATTAACCTTGCTGGCCATTGTGATCCATACAGCAATGGTTGCACGAAATTAAGCCCTGACATAAAATCATGTCAAGCCAAAGGCATCAAGGTGTTGCTTTCCATTGGAGGAGGAGTAGGGAGTTACTATCTTGCCTCTAAAGAGGATGCAAGGCAAGTAGCAGCTTACCTCTGGAACAACTTCTTAGGGGGACACTCTGCATCTCGCCCACTTGGCCCAGCTGTCCTTGATGGAATTGACTTCGACATTGAAGGAGGCACAAATCTGCACTGGGATGATCTTGCAAGATTCCTTTCAGCATATAGCAAGCAAGGTAAGAAGTTGTACTTAACTGCAGCTCCTCAGTGCCCATATCCTGATGCTTGGATCGGCAATGCATTAAAGACAGGTCTTTTTGACTATGTTTGGGTCCAATTCTACAATAACCCTCCTTGCCAATACTCTGGGGGTATCACTAATCTTGAAGATGCTTGGAAGCAATGGATTTCAAGTATCCCTGCTAAAAATATTTTCCTGGGATTACCTGCTGCCCCTGATGCAGCTGGAAGTGGGTTCATCCCTGCATCAGACCTCACTTCCAAAATCCTTCCAGCTATTAAAGGATCTGCCAAGTATGGTGGTGTCATGTTGTGGTCCAAATACTACGATGATCAAACTGGCTATAGCAAAGCCATCAAGAACCACGTCTAAAATCTAAAGTAAACCTTCATATGAATAAAATTCCAGAGATAGAAGTCTTATTTATGACTTGTACATGTGATGTTTTTACTTGTAGTAATACCATTATGTATAAAATCATGTATTTGCAGAATTTTGTGCTTTTTTACATGTTCCCCACTCTGCTTTTGCTTTCTTTTCACTGTGACATGGTGACAATGCGATAAGCCTCAACCAAACGATTGCAACATGGTACTTGCCAAAGAAGTAACGCTATCGTGTTTGTGTAATCCCATCCCATGTGAGTAGTTGACAAAGATTTGGATGCAGCAAATTTGGTGGAAAATGATATTTGTGTGGAAGCTTTTTATGACCAACCTCATGTTCTTTGTGGTAATTACCAAACAGTAGCAATCCAGTTTTGAAATGAACTCAGCCTAAGTTTTTCCTAAATGAGTTAAAATGAAACAAAACTCTGTTCACTGATTTTTTGTAAACTATAAAGCTAAATTCAAACAGAAAATTTTGAAGAAATGAGACATTGTTATTTGCCTTTTAATTTGTCTTTTGGCAGAGTAGGTGAAAACCAAGAAATCAAATCAAGTTTAGAGGACATGAGAGAATTTGTGACCACTAAATTTTGATTTCCACAAAATCTGGAGAAGCATTACACAAGATGCAGGTAAATAATGTCAGAGTCAAGGAAATTATGTCTCTTTTATACATTACTCCCCTGCCCTGCTATGTTAAAAACTAGCCAATATGCCTCTCAAAATTAATCTGGGTGAATGAATTGCGTATTCCTCTGAAAATATTCTGGAAGAATTACTTGGATATTCTTTTGAAGCAGAAGATCTCATTTATATTCCAGATAAATTCTGTGTAGTCAGCAGCCACTATTTTCCGAGACAAGGCTGCACTATAAGTAAACCCAAGAATTGAGTTTGATTTCTTCTTTTTTTATTTTTTTATTTTTATTTTTTTTGCGTGAGTACTTGAATTTCAAATACGAAAAGAGAAAAAACAATTGAATTTCAAGTTTCAAAACAAAATCTAGTATGCATCATTTTGAAGAGGACAAGCTTGTAAAATATTCATCATATTGAGGCATTCTATTTTATTCTGTTCTATTCTTTCACTTTATAGCATCCCAAATAAAACAAATCGTAGGCAAAATCGTAAAAAGAAGTGTATGATTCACTAAAAACATCAATCACGATTCGTAGGCTATACTAGCAGGGGAATATATTGTCCAAAAAGAAAAAAACAAGCGATAAATTACTTCTACAACAGCTAAACAAGAAATATATATTAAGCATGATCAACACGCCAATACCAATAAAACTGGTGTTAATTAAGGTTAAAATTTAAAAGACAGAAACATAAAATAAAATTTCCAAATTTAAACAATAAAACAGAATGTGTAAGACCAAAGAAATCAAAATTAAACAATAAATTTTGATTACTGAATCTTGACAAGCCTTTGAAAAGTAAGAGTTTCATCCATGAGTGTTAACAGCTTCCCACAGCATATTTTTAGGAACAGGGTTGGACAGGTCCCTAGCCATCAGGGCAACATTCCTGAGTCTTCTGATTGTCCACACATTGGCTTCCCAGAAGGACAAACTCCTGTAAGACAAATTGTGCTTCTTGCATAGATCCTGTACCAATGGTGAAACTGTTCTCAATTGGCATCTTGGCATCCTTGGAAACAAATGATGCTCAAGCTGAAACTGCAAACCACCATAAAACCAATCCATCCAAGATGAGCACGAAATATCCAAAGTCCCACCTGTCTGTTTCTCAAACCAATCATTCCCTTTTGGAGGTCCGGTGTAAACATCGGCCGCAAAATGATTCAAACAAAATTGAACGTGCTGAATTGCGGTGACAGCAAAGCTTGTAAGCACAAACATCACCCTCTCGGGCCAATTAGGGAGACAAGACACAAGTAGAGGGAACCAAGTCCAAAATATAAGAATTCCAATGATGTTCAAAGCTCTATCTGGGAATTTTCTCTTTGAAAACAATAGCAAGAATGTCTGTATATACAGATTGACCCTTGCAACACACATTACCGGGTAAAAAGTCCAATGTTGGTAGCTCACAAAAAATCTTGCCACAGGATCAAAATTCAAGTACCTTCCGTAAAAGCAAGACTTTATAGAATTGAAAAAGGTCGAATTTACCGCAAATACTGGTATGTGTTGAAGATCAGGATCATAATCAAGACTGTTGCAGGCAATATGGTGTGCGTTGTGGGTCCATTTCCACCAAGCAATGCTAATACCTGTAAGGGAATTCCCAGCAAGAAATTGAGCAAGTTTGTTATAACCACGACTCTTCATTACCTGGTAATGCCCTGAATCATGACCAATATAGGCACTTTGAATCCAAAGAAAACCCAACAACACAGCAGATCCAAAATGAGACCAAACACTCTGGCAACACAAAATACCATAAAGAACAACGCAAAACATCAACGCAATAGATGCCAGCGCATACATAGTAATATGTCCTTTCTTTTCAAACAAACCCAGTTTAGCAAACTCTGAAGCAAGCCTCCTATAATCCTTGGATGTCTCTGATACCTGAAAATCTTTGAGATAATACCCTGTAAAGAGCTTGTCAAGATACTTCCATGCTGTTCCAGGATGGTAGGCAATGAATGCATCGGTAACATCTTGGCCTGCCAGATTCAGGAGAACAACATCTCCACCCGGATGCTCGTTTGCCCAGTCAGAGACATTGTAAACCTTTCCCTGAATAGAGATCCACAAGTCTCCTGCCTTGTTGTGTTGCTTGAGCTCTTCGCTTGTAATGTACTTCTTATCTCCCTCCATTGAACCAGAAAAACAAAACAAAAGTTAAAAGGAGGGATTTTGATATTGATATCTAAAAACAAATCAAGAAATCCCTGTTTTCGTCAAAGAAAACAATCCCATTAACAGGGATTTCGATTTGTATTTGATATTCTTCTCTCTCTCAGATTTATCTTGGGTGGGCTGCCTCTCTTCTTGGCTCTCGTAGTTTTCCAAGAGTTGTGTTATTAGAGAGGTTTTATTTCAAGTTTCTGCGTCTAGGGGAGGGGTTTTATTTAGATTTGTTTCCCGTCTTTCCAGCGAAGCTTGCGGTTAATCGGTGACTTTAGTGACCCAAGCAATTAAATCTGTTTAACACAAATTATCAAACGACCGTTGATTTCAAAAATTCGGGGTTGGTAATTGCAATCGACGGATGAGATGATGCTAAATAACGCGCTTACCTGGTAGATTTAATCGGTTCCTTTTTTAAATATTATCCCAAAGATATTTTGGGACTCCGTCACTCATGCGTTATGCACAGTAGAGACAAGGATACATGCGCTGTTAACTCAATGCCAGGCAAATCGATTCTTTTTCGTACCCAAAAAATATCAAATGCCAGATGATATAATCAAATTCTCAACCCCAGTCTGGACAGTTTAAATGCATATTTTATTTCCAATTTTTTCACAACTTTTAAATTGCTAGATGTCGTAAAAAGAATATTAGATTGAGTTTGTTATCGTATTAGCTATAATTGGTAATTGCTTGCCAAATATAAGTTGTTAAATATAGATGAATGGTTATGGAAGGTTTTCAAAAAATAGTTCTTTGTAAAAATAAATAAAAAGAGAATCCATTGCAGTTTATCCTATCGCAGAACTTTGACCATTTATTTGTTTAAATCCAATCCGAGTCACACAGGGAGTACATAATTTTAAGATTTTATTAATTCAAGGTAATTTAATTTGTAATGAGTTGGTTTTCATTTTATGATGAAAAGTTTACCTTTTTTTTTTTTTGGGCGTGTGAGTTGATATATAAAGAAAAAAACACTCGACTATAAACCCTAGCTGTCTAGTCGAACATGAATCCTAAAGGTGGGGTGAGCTGGTGGTAATCTTTAGGAATGTCGGGAGAGAGTCCCGTCATTATTACTCCAACTATTTGCATAGGGAAACGAAATCCAGATGGTTTTCAATCTTGACAAAACCTAGCCTTAATTACCAATTTTATTCATATAGGTATGTTCTTTAATATTCGAACAGTACAAGTAAAGTTTAATATTTCGAGTGTAATATAATACTTTCAAGGAGATGGTACTTTTTTAGTGTACTATTTATGGTAAATTACAAAAAAAAAAAAAAAAAAGGGCGAAAAAAGCTAGCGAGCAGTGTCAGCAAATATAATAATGACAAAAATACTTTGACTGTACGTAAAGTTTTTTCTTTATGGCCTCTGTTTTTCCTTCTCTATTTTCTTCTTTCTTTCTATCAACAGACAATTAAGAAATTTCAATTTTTTTTCCTTCATGTGCTTGCAGTGTTTATTCGAATAATATTCTATTTCTTAGAAAACAACACGTGGCTTCCAAACCTTCCACCACCTGAAGGTCACGTGAGAAATCATACTAAGTCACGACGAATGGTGCACGAAATCACAGAATTGGATCGGACCCCTCACGCTCGGTCGCGCCTTAGAATTTCTCTCGACAGCGCGACGGTTAAAGACAAGCATATATACTAGTATTATATGATACTATTTATTATTATCATGGAAGCCGATGCTTTCTTGTATGGCGGATAAACCCAACCACAGCTGTTTAGATTTGTATTGGGCAGAAAATAGCATTTATGGACGGTTGACACGGACTACTAGTAGTATTCCATATTTAGATGCCCATTTGTCCGAACAAAGAAGTTGCTGTCCTAAGTCGTCTCAAGGCTTTCTCAATTTTAGTATGTGTTTGGTATCGAATATATACTCAAATTATAAGTGCGGTTGTGGATGTGACTACATGAACATATCTAATAACTATATTAATATTTTTAAAATTATAAAATAATGGTGTTAAAAGCCATGGCGAAACTTTTCAACTTTTGCCATTTTTTTATTTTTAAATAAAGATTCTCGTGGATCAGAAGGAAACTAGGCCTAACTAACCGCATCCCTTGCCTCAAAGAAGGCCTTAGTAGATGTGATGGTTTTTTCAAACTTGGAACCGCTGTAGCAAATAATTGGGTTTTCTAAATAGCTCGATTGAATAATATTACTATAAGATTGTCGAAATATTTTCAAAATGATGGTTGTTGAAGTACAGGGAAAAAATATGTTTGAAGAAGGATCCGAATTTGTTGGAAAAGACGGAAACAGATAACAAAACCATGGTACAATCCCTCCCTTTTGGTGTACAATAATTCTTCTCCCTCTATTCTACCAAGTTGCTGGATCTACAAACCTAATTCAACGATAATCAAATCAATTAAATCACATCAAGTTGGTGTGAATTCTAATTTCTGGTTAAAAGAATTACAAATAAAAAAAAAAAAGAAATATTCAATGACGTGGGACTAAAGATTGTCCACTCAATAGAATTTCATTGGAACCTTTTGAATTAAGAGTTCAATACAAAAATTGAGATTGAATTAGCCAAATTTATTTATAAATATTCCTTTGAAAAAAGTTTTCAAAACTTCCTCTTATAACGCTTTTGTTTTCCATTAATCTTATGGTTTACATTTGATGTGAAGTAATTGACAACAAAAATGAATCATAACAAGAATAAGGTTACATGGATAAAATCTTGCTTGAATTTAAATTCATGTGAAAATCTATTTTTAAATTTTGCATTTGACATTTCCTGAACCTTTTTTTTTTTTTTTTTGTAAATTTAGTTCATCTTCAACTATTTATCATCACTCTCTAAAATTTTCAATTCTTATTATTTTGAGTTAAAATTTTACACACGTTGAAAAACACTCGATATATTTTTTGAAAAAATCTCAGAATTTTCAAAATAAAAAATATATTATTTATTTGTTTAATATTAAAAAATGTAAAAAATAATAAAAAAGAAAATAATCCTGAATAATTCTAATTTTTTTTAAGATTCCTAGATAAAATTTCTAAATAATTTTATTATACGGTTATTTATGTGATCATTATTTTTTATAAAAAAATAAATTATGAAATAAATTTAAAAAATCAAATTCAAAAAAATCAAATCTAAAATTAGAGGCTCATGAACTAATTTTTAAATAGATTAAACTTTAAAAATATTTGACCCATTTAGCTCAAGAATAATTATTACATGAGTAATTGTTAAGGGTGCACCAATGTGTAAAATTAGCTTTTTAAATTTTCTTGAATAAATATTTAGAGAATTAGTTTGATTTGAAAAAAAAAAGTTTATTTCTCATATCATATCATTTAAGATTCAAATATTAAAAAAATTCAATAAAATAATTAAAATTTTGCGACTAGATAATTCAATGCAGATAACTTATTTAAAATTTGTTGTTTTTTTTCTCTAAATTTATAAAAGATGACAAAATGATAGGTTGATACCAATTTTTAACAAATTCTCTTTTCAAATATTTGCACCAATGACATTAATAATTATTTTTGTGGTATTTAATCTTATTTTCTCTATCTACCAAACACACCCTACCCACTATAACGCAAATATCACGAGACCGTATGTGACGCATCAGATAGCCACTTGAATAACGATCTCTCCTATAAAGCCATCTTCAAAGAAAGGTATTCCAACGAAAAAGGTGTAAATATCTTCTCTTTTAAAGAATTCATTTACAGCCACGAATTTAGTCGTCTCGAGCCATTATCAGACCCCACCAAACCTATATCAGACTCTGGGACACTTCGACAAGCTTGCCGTCGACTCAAAGGGTTAAAAATGAAAAGGTAAGAAGAAATTTAGGTTTATTTATGGTCGGTCCAATTTTAAATTTTACTTGACCTATTATTTTGATGACACTTCGGTTCAACCACAAGCCAGCCCTTCGAACCAATGCTTCAATAGCACAAGACTTTAGTCGGGTTAAGCCTCAATGATACTACTAACATGGTACCCCAAGCGTTGAATCGTTGATGTCCATAAATCTATATAATATGTTTTATTATTTTAAATAGTTTTTTAAAAATTGAATATTAGTAAATATTAATTAACGTTTATTATTAGAATTTTTTAATTTAATATAAATTATGTAATAAGAATATGCTAAAAGAGCAAATAAGTCAAATTATGTATGTTATATATTTTTTTAATAGAATAAAATAAGTATGCATATAGACTGATTACATATCCAGGTGAAAGTAGCTTACCTTTTGTGCCTACTTACACTACCTCTGAATTTCTTGAAGCTCTCGAACTTAATGACATTCAATACAAGAGAGATGCCATTGATACAACATTTGGGTCCATTGACAGCCTCTTTTATTTTCTTATGTCAATGCCCAAGTTATCCCTACATTAAGAACATCGTCCCGTCTGTCATTTCTCTACGACATAAAAGCAGGTCCACTAGATCAAAGGTGCTCGTCAAGTCACCTAGACCTCCTCCTTCCTTGCCTATTTGGAAGCCACAACAAAAGGAAATATCATAGGCATTGTCATCGAATAGCAAATTCCAAGGGACCGTTGGTTCACCAAGATCACGAGGAGTATCCTTTTACTTTATCAAAATTTTAAATAATATATTTTTGAAAATACTTTTAATTGATAGAAAAAATCATTTCTTTATTCTATTTCATGTTTTTACTAACAAAAAAAATTAATATTTTTATATTCTTCTTCATTTGTATAAATACTTTTCATATGAATTTTTTAAAAAAAAAATTGTTACATGAAAAATATCAATTTTTATAAAGATTTTACTACATTCGAAATTTTGAGAGTAAAATATTTTTATTGGTACATTACTTTTTTCATAATTGTTTTAAACTCAATCGTTAATTGATTTAATTATTTTTTAATTTATCATCTTAATTTTAAATATATTTTCTTATATTGAATTAAT